ACCACCAAAGTCGCAGGAGAAAGGTGCCCAACAGCACAGAGGTATTTCTAGGGGGGCCTCGAGGCATAGCAAGAGGGAGAGAGAGTTGAAGGTAGTTAGAAGAGGGCAGGAAAGTAATAGAGGGGGACAAGGGAAAGATAAGGTGGAACATCATCACTCTTGGTAATTTACTTTTTTAAAATTATTTTTAAGATATAATTTACATAACAAAATTGGCTGGGCTCAGTGGTTCAGTCTGTAAGCCTCACTTAGGTAGGCTGAGGTGAGTGGATTGCCTGTGCCCCTGGGTTCGAGACCAGCCCACACAACTTGGCGAGACCTCATCACTACTACAAATAAAAAATTAGCCAGGTGTGGTAATGTGCACCTGTAGTTCTGGCTATTTGGAAGGCTGAGGCAGAAGGATTGCCAGAGCCCAGCAGGTTGACGCTGGGGTGGCCATGAGTTTGCTACTGCACACCAGTCTGGGTGACAGAGTGAGACTACAACTCAAAAAAAATTACATAACAAAATTAACTTTAAATAAGTACAATTAAGTGGCAGCTGAAACATTCATGAATTGGCATAATCTTCACAACTATCAGATCCATAACATTTGTATCATCCCCAAAGGAAACCCCTGGACCTGTTACCAGTCCGTCTGTCCCTATTCCTTCCTCACTCTGGCTCCAGGCGTCCATCAGTTGTTATGGATTTGCCTGGTCTGGACATTTCATACAAATGGAATCATGGTATGTGACCTTTGGCATCTGACTTCTTTCACTTAGCATAACAGTTTAAAGGTGTATCTACATTCTAGTGTGTGTCAGTAATTCATTTTTTTCATGACAGTACAGAATTCTATTGCATTACTATACCACATTTGCTTATGCATTCATCATTTGCTAGACATTTGGGTTGTTTCCACTAATAATTTACACTTATTGAGATTCTATTATGTGCTAGGCATCACCTGGCTAAGTTCATCCCATTTCACAAATAAGGAGGTAGAGTGTATTGAGAGCTAACAAGTAGGGGAGCTGGGATGAAAGCCAGTCATTTGGTTCTCAGAGGTAATAGATTCACATGAAAGAACATTAGAAAGATACAAAGGATGAATTCAAAGTCACTCACTTACCCTCTCCTTTAGAAACATCTACTTTTGCCACTTTTAGAATTCATCTAGAGAAATTATCTATTTATATCCCAACATGATTGTAGCATGAGTTATTGAATAATCTGTCCCACTGATCTGAAATGTCCCTTTGATAGTGTACTGAATTCATATATGTATTTTCATTGCTTTTTTTCTAATCGTCCTGACTTTTTTGCCTTTTATATTTACCATTTCTTTAGAATCCTTTTTATCGTCTTTTGATTTTTAAAAATTTCTTGTTTTTTAAGACCATATCAATTTTGTTCATTCACTCTTCTGTTCTTTTTAAACTTTTTGTTGTTGTTTTTGTTTGTTTGAGTTGGGATTTCACTCCTTTGCTTTTGCTGGAATGCAATGTCATGATCACCACAGCCTCCAACTCCTGGGCTAAAGCAATCCTCATGCCTCACCTTCCTGAGTAACTGGGACTATAGGAACACATCACCACACAAGACTTTTTTGTTTGTTTTTGAGATGAGATCTCACTATGTTGTCTAGGCTTGTCTCCCACTCCTGTGCTCAAGGGATTCTCTTGCCTCAACTTCTCAAAATGCTGGAATTACAGGTGGTAGTCACCACATCTGGCCTATTTTTTTAAACTAGAGTATTCAAAAATATGGTAGTTTGCCCTTGAGATTTCCTGCCTCTGCTCCCCTCCTTGACTTTTATCCTTTGTGCTTATTTTGCAAATTATTGATGGTGATGACGCTCTACCCCATCTTTCCCTTGCCCTCCTCCATTCCTCTCCTGCCTTCTTCTCACTGTTTTGGAAAGAAGCTTTGCATCTGCAAATTCGAGAGTGTTGAGGGTCTAGACTGCAAAACCCCTGGCGGTTTCAGTTGCTGTTCTCAAACGTCATCCATGCTTTCCAATGAGCACCTTCTGGCACTCTGAATGCCTCCTGTTTGCCACTCCCTCTTGTGCAAATGGTCATACCAAGCAGGTCTAGTGCTGACTGGTTTGCCCCATCCTATGGGTTGGCATTCAGAGGGAGAACTTTGTCCTCTTGTTTGATGGTAAATGCTACACAGGTTTTGGTTTGTTTAATCTATTTCCATGAGAGGATTTGGGAAGATTCAGAAACTACAATGCTGTCTCCATCTTTCTGAAGTCCCACACAATCTTTGAACATAATTATTTTAAATAGAGGGGACTACAGTCTTTAGTTTCCTGTGGCAGAGTTCCATTTGTTCCAAACTGGTTAAGACTCTGAGTCAGACAAGGCTTTCAGACAGTCCCTTCTGTCTACCATGGCACTTCATGCCTGTACTTGCTCTGTCCTTGCCTTGAGTGAGAGTTAAAACAGTCTACGTTTGGAAGATGTTTGGCCATATGAGAGGTGGAGTATTTCTGTTGGGCAAGTAAAACATCCAGAGACAGGCCCAGGTCAGGAAAGTTTTTTCCCCCCTCCTCTTTGTATCTACTTTTCTAAACATGAACAAAACTGAATCTCCAATCTGACCTCCTCTCACTGCCACATGCACACAAAACTGGTCCTTACACAGTTTTCTTATCTCAGTTAATGGCAATACAATGTTTCCGGTTGCTCAGGCCTGAAACCTTTGAATTCATTTGACTCTTGTCTTCTCCTACCAAATACAGACCCAGAACATCAAAAATTCCATCTGCCCTAGCTACAGATTGCATCTAGAACTGGTCTACTTCTAACTGTATGCTACCATTTTCACTTTAGTTCAAGCCTTCATCATTTCCTGCCTGAATTATTGAAATATCCCTCTCACAATGCAGTGGTTCCCAAACTTTACTGACTCATCAAGTCCTTGTAATCTCACTGGTAGGCCAAAAGAAATACTTAACATTCCCATACATTTAGTAGTTAGGAGCTATTTAATAAGTATTTATGCCTGTGGTATGCCAAATAAAGTCCAAAGAGATAAAATCATCAACTCTGCCATATTTGGAAAAAGAGTTTTTGGATGTGACTAATGATCTTGAGATGAGGAGATTATCCTGCATGATTAGGGGGAGCCCTAACTGCAACCACTTGTGTCCTTATAAAATGAAGGCAAATGGAAAGTTAATACAGACAGAGGAAGAGAAAGACAATGAGACCACTGAGGCAAAGATTGAAGTGATACAGTCACCAGCTAAAGAATGCTGGCATCCACCAGAGACTGGAAGAGGCAAGAAACAAAGTCTCCCCCAAGAGCCTCCAAAAGGAATACAACCCTCTCAACACCTTAATTTTGCTCCTTTGTTTTTGTGATGCTGACTTCACATTCCTGGGCTCCAGAACTGTAAGGATAAATTTTTACTTTTTTCAGCCACCAAGATTATGGTGATTTGTTACAGCAGCCACTGAAAACTAAGTAGACTATTTAAAACAACAAAGTAGCTATTCAAACAATAATACCTATTAGTTAAAAGAAAATTCACTTTCACTCTTAACCACAATACTTGCTAATGGGCTATGTGTGCCTTTTAGGCACTGTATGTCTCAAACCTTGGAATCAAATTAGACACTGCCAGCCTCATTTACTGTTCCACATTGATTTTCAAGAGGTACTTTGTATTTTTTATTCATAGCTACTATCAAAAACCCAGCTTCACAGAGATATGGTATAATTGAAAGGAATGTAGCATGACCTGATGTTAAAACTGTGAGCTACCTACTGAGAAGAAGCTTGCACCCTACAGTTGTCAAGTATTGCTATGAATCCTTCACAAATTTAAAATATTCAGCTACACCCAGTTGAATCTGCTGTGGTGTCCTATGATAACCTTGGCACATCATTTGAACTGCAGCCCTAATTGGTTTTTCTGCTCTCACATTTGCCCCCTCAAATCTGCCAACATAGCAGTCATAATGACGCTTTCCAAAATAAATGTCAGATCCTGTCTCTCTTCTGCTAAAAGCTTCCATGGCTTCTCATTTCTCTCAGAGCCAAGGCCAAGTTTTTACAATGGCTTATAATGCCCTTCCTGTGTCAGAGGACAGCAAATATTTTGTGTAAAAAAACAAAGAAACAGTAAATATGTTAGTCTTTGTGGGCTAGATCGTCTCTGTCTCAACTACTCCATTCTGCAATTGCAGCAAGAAGGCAGCCACAGTAAACAGATGGGCATGGCTAGGTTCCAAGAAAACTTTATTCACAAAAGCAGCCATGCTGGTTTGCTGATGCTTCCTCTAATGACCTGTGTACTGCTGTGCTCCCTCTCATTCACCCCATTCCAGTCAAACTAAGCCCCCTTGCTTTCCCTTGAATACTGCAAGTTCCTGACTCAGGGCCTTTTCACTTGCTGTTCTCTGTCTGGAATCCTCTTCCCACTTTCTTCAAGTCTTTTCTCCAATCTTAACTTTCCAGTGAGGGTCTCCCTGACCACACTACTTGAAATTGCAATTCCCTCACTATTCTTCCTTCTACCTTTCCTCACTCTGATTCCCTTTACCAGGATCTACTTGTCTCTTAATACTGTGAACTTTCTAATATGGTATGTAATTTACTTCTTTATCATAATAAATGCTGAATTGTATATATCACTCCCTCACTCATCACTAAACTGTAAGATCATGGAAAATTTTTAGCTGGTTTGTTTACTGACACGTATCAAATGCCTTTAAAAGTGTCTGGTGTGTACCATAGCAGGTAATCAATCAATATTTGTCAAGTAGCTGACTAAATGATTGTTTTATAAGGAGAATAAATATACTGATATTCAGTTCCTCATTAAAAGTGATAGTGCCTGGTCATAAGCCAAAATTAAAAAAAAAATATACAAACAATATGAAATGATAAGATCAAGATGTTCCATTTTGGCTTCCTGTGTAGTGTGAGCGGCGTGAGGTGAGGGTTTCGGACACTGAATTTTCCGTGATCATCGTATACACAGCTCTACTGCAGAGATGGTCAATGTACCTAAAACCCGAAGAACTTTCTGTAAGAAGTGTGGCAAGCACTAGCCTCACAAAGTGACACAGTATAAGAAAGGCAAGGATGCCGGGCTCGGTGGCTCAGTCTGTAATCCCGCGCCTTTGGGAGGCTGAGGTGAGTAGATTGCCTGAGCCCGAGGTTTCGAGACCCGCCTGGGCAGTGAGACCTCATCTCTACAATAAATCAAAAAATCAGCTGGGCGTGGTAGCATATGCCTGTAATTCCGGCACTTGGAAGGCTGAGGTGGAAGGATCGCCGGAGCCCAGCAGGTTGAGGCTGCGGTGGTTAAGAGCGGCCACTGCACTCCAGTCTGGGCGACCGAGTGAGACTCCAACTCAAAAAAAAAAAAAAAAAAAAAAAAGAAAGGCAAGGATTCTCTGTATGCCCAGGGAAAGAGATTCTATGATCGGAAGCAGAGTGGCTATGGTGGGCAGACAAAGCCAATTTTCTGGAAGAAGGCCAAGACTACAAAGAAGATTGTACAGCCAGGCTCGGTGGCTCAGCCTATAATCCTGCGCCTTTGGGAGGCTGAGGTGAGTGGATTGCCTGAGCCCGCGGGTTCAAGACCCGCCTGGGCAGTGAGACCTCATCTCTACAATAAATCAAAAAATCAGCCGGGCATGGTAGCACATGCCTGTAATTCCGGCTACTTGGAACGCTGAGGCGAAAGGATCACCAGAGCCCAACAGGGCGAGGCTGCAGTGGCCGGTAGCGGCCACTGCACTCCAGTCTGGGCGATAGAGTGAGACTCCAACTCAAAAAAATAAATAAATAAATAAAAGAAGATTGTATTAAGGCTGGAATGTGTTGAGCCTAACTGCAGATACAAGAGGATGCTGGTCATTAAGAGATGCAAGCATTTTGAACAGGGAGGAGATAAGAAGAGAAAGGGCCAAGTGATCCAGTTCTGAGCTTTGGGATTTTTTTTTTTTTTGAGATGGGGATGTTAAAGCTGTAGAAAAATTACTTGCAGGAAAATAAATACAGTGATATTTTCACTCAGACCTTTTATGTTTGACCTATAGATTACATGTTTAATGTGGTTCTAGATTTAGAAAAATAATAAATTCTTTGGAAGTGAAAAAAAAAGATGTTCCATCTCAACAGTCCTCAAATTTCTCATATAATTTAACTTTTTGAAACAGGAAATTTTGGAAATGAAACTTGAACCTGAAACAAAGGTTTTGAATTATTAGCAAAAAGTTATATAATTAACTGACAGGTAACAAAACAAAAATATGTTTGACAAAATGAATACCTCATATACACATTTAAACATAAATTTAAACAATACACTCACTTTAAATATCTTTCTTTCTCAGCATGCATAAGGACTCATTTCAAAGTGGTCATTTTTCTTTTTCTTCTTCTTCTTTTTTTTCGAGTTGGAGTCTCACTCTGTTGCCCAGGCTAGAGTGCAGTGGCACATTCACGGTCCCCCAACCTTTGACCTGCTAGACACCAGCGATCCTTCCGCCTCATCCTTCCAAGTAGAGGAACTATAGGCATGCGCTACCACACCCGGCTAATTTTTTGATTTATTGTAGAGAAGAGGGCTTGCCAAGTTATGCAGGCTGGTTTCAAACCTGCGGGCTCAGGCAATCCACTTGCCTTGGCTTCTCAAAGTGCTAGGATTACAGGCTGAGCTACCCAGCCCAGCCTAAAGTGATTATTTTTCTTGGTGACATCAGATACCAGTTTTTAAACAGACTATAGATGGCGCTCCAAGCCACAGCTTCATCTTCATGTTACTGTTTTTTACAGTAGTCTTCTTACCAAGGGACACTCTCTTCATCAGGTAATTTCAACTCCAAGTGAAAAGGAATGTAATTTGTGTGCATTCCTAATCACAAACTTAGATGATCCCAGGGCCTTTGTTACTTTTCTCTTTTTTTGAACCAGCTAATCCCACATCTTTTTCTTCCTAAGAATTTAGTTTTCAAATTTTATTTGTCACTTTATATCCCCGATGGGTTAGCAGCAAATTTTAACAATAGGAACAGTTTCTCTTTAGCACACAGTTCATTTCTGTTTTCAGCGCGCCTCAATCTTTAGTAACACTCAACATTGACTGTTCTGGGGTCTTGATGCTTAGAGCTCACCTGGACTCTTCTTGAGAATGTTGCTCAACTTTTAAAGATTTGTTTCCTTCTGATGGCTCTAAATCTTCATCCATGAAGTTCTTAATACAACATAACCTAGTTTTTTTTTTCCCTTGTGAAAGACTCATGCCTGATATTTATCCATGGGCATAATATTCAAAACACATTTGCTCAATTAATGAAGGCATCTAGCCATCAAGCTTTCTGCTTCTAGTTCTAACTGCTGTGTATAGAAGACTGTCTCAAAACATAATGTGTTTTTTTTTTAATTGTTCATCTCAGTTGTCACCATAATTGCCTAGTCTGTTTCTGTAATTCATTTTGGGGACAGTAAGACAACATTTATCTCAACAATATTGGAAAATCCTACAGTATTCCCACCACAGCCTCGACCTGCTGGGCTCCGGCGATCCTTCTGCCTCAGCCTTCCAAATAACTGGAAGTACAGGTGCGCACTACCACGCCCGGCTAATTTTTTTTTTTTTTGATTTATTGTAGAGATGAGGTCTTGCCAAGTTGCCCAGGCGGGTCTCGAACCTGCGGGCTCAGGCAACCCACTCACCTCAGCCTCCCAAAGGCGTGGGATTACAGGCTGAGCCACCGAGCCCGGCTGGAAAATCCTACAGTATTTACCGAGTGCTTCTAGCATCATAAGTTATTCTAAGCACTGGGAAGGGATTGTGAGCAAGTCAGAAAAAGCTCTTGTATTCCTGGAAAGTATATTCCAATGGGGAATGAACGACAATAACAACCCAAACCATATCAGACCATGGTAAGGACTATGAAGAGAATTAAAACAGAACCAGGAGATATAGGGCGACTGGGTGGTTACTTAGAAGGGGTGGTCAGAGAAGTTCCCTTTGGGAAGATGACATATAAGCTGAGAAATGAATGACAAGACAGAGCCAGTAAAAGGAAGATCAGAGTAGAAGAACCCCAGGAAAAGAAAATAACTGTGCAAATGTCTTGAGCCTAGCAGCAGAAATTTTGATGGTGTGGCTGGAGAGTAGAAAGCAAGAAGGAGATTGGGAGATGAAGTCATAGTGATGAGTAATCCAGGGTAAAAAACTTTGCATGTTTATTTCAACTATCACAGGAATTCTTTAGAAGGTTTTAGCCTGGAGTGATAGAATTGCTTTTTGTGGCCAGGCTCGGTGGCTCAGCCTGTAATCCCAGCACTTTGGGAGGCCGAGGTGAGTGGATTGCCCGAGCCCTAAGTTCAAGACCTGCCTGGGCAACTTGGTGAGACCTCATCTCTACAATAAAGATAAAAAAATTAGCCAGGTGTGGTAGCGCACACCTGTAGTTCCAGCTACTTGGAAGGCTGAGGTGGAAGGATCACCGGAGCCAAGCAGGTCGAGGCTGCAGTGGCCGGGAGTGGCCACTGCACCCCAGTCTGGGAGACAGAGTGAGACTCCAACTCAAAAAAAAAAAAAGAATTGCTTTTTGTTTTAAAAGATCATTAGCTAGACAAAATACCATTTAAGCTATCAAAAATTAAAAAAGATACAGAGGGCCACTACATAATGATAAAAGATTCACTCCATCAAAAAGAAAGATCTATCCTAAACATACATGCACCCAACATAGGTGTGCCAACTTTCATAAAGCAACTTCTAGGAAAACTAAAGAAAGATATTGACTCTAACTGGGGACTTTAATACACCACTCACAACCTTAGACAGATCATCAGGACAGAAAATCAGCAAGGAGATCCGGAACCTCAATGAGACTCTGGACCAAATGGGCTTAATTGATACTCACAGAACACTCCATCCAAAGACCACAGAATACACATTCTATTCATCACCACATGGAACATATTCTAAGATCGACCACATAATTGGACATAAATCAAGCATAAGCAAATTTAAAAGGACTGAAATTCTACCATGCACCTTCTCAGACCACAGTGGAATAAAAATAAACATTGACACCAACAAGGTCCCCCCAAAACCCACAAAGACATGGACACTAAACAGCATGATGCTAAACAACTCCATGGTCAATGATGAAATCAAAACAGAGATCAAGAGATACCTGGAAACAAATGAAAATGAAGAAACATCTTACCAAAACCTCTGGGACGCCATGAAAGCTGTAGTAAGAGGGGAATTTATATCCCTACAAACACACATGAAGAAAATGAAAGGAACACAAATTAACAACCTAACAAGCCACCTGAAGAAGCTGGAAAAGCAAGACCACAGAAACCCTAATTTCAGCAGAAGAATCCAGATCACCAAAATAAAAGCCCAAATCCAGGACATAGAAGACAAAAAGATAATACAAAAAATCAACGAAACAAAAAGCTGGCTCTTCGAAAGGATAAACAAGATCGATGGTCCCCTAGCTAGACTGATCAAGAAAAAACGAGAAAAAAGCCAAATAAGCACAATCAGAAACACAAAAGATGAAGTCACATCTGACCCTGAAGAAATACAAAAGATCATTAAAGACTACTACGTACACTTGTATGGAAACAAACTTGAAAACCTTAAAGAAATGGAAGACTTTCTGACATCACACAACCTACCTAGGTTGGAACAAGAAGAAATTGAGACCCTAAAGAGACCAATAACAATCAAGGAAATCGACTATGTAATAAAAAAAAACTACCTACAATAAAAGCCCTGGTCCAGATGGCTTTCCAGCAGAATTCTACAAGATATTTAAGGTGGAGCTGATACCAATCCTACTGAAGGTATTCCAGGAGATTGAAAAAGATGGAACTCTCCCCCAATCATTTTATGAAGCCCACATCACATTGATACCCAAGCCAGGTAAAGACCCAACAAAGAAAGAGAACTACAGGTCAATATCTTTGATGAACATAGATGCTAAAATTCTCAACAAGATCCTAGCAAACCAGATTCAACAATACATCTCAAAAATCATCCATCATGACCAAGTAGGCTTCATTCCTGGGATGCAAGACTGGTTCAACATTTGTAAAACCATAAATGTAATTAAATACATCAACAGATGTCAAAACAAAAACCACATGATTATATCATTAGATGCAGAAAAAGCTTTTGATAAAATCCAGCACCCCTTTTTGATAAAAACCCTTGAACATCTAGGCAAATGGGAAACATACCTCAAAATAGTAAAAGCCATCTATGAGAAACTCACAGCCAGCATACTCCTAAATGGTCAAAAATTGGAACCATTTCCCTTGAAAACTGGAACAAGACAAGGATGCCCACTCTCACCCCTCTTGTTCAACATAGTATTGGAAGTCCTGGTTCGAGAAATCAGAGAAGAGAAGGCAATCAGGGGTATCCAAATAGGAAAAGAGGAAGTCAAGTTATCTCTCTTTGCAGATGATATGATTGTGTACCTTGAAAACCCAAGAGAATCTGTCAAAAACCTCCTTACACTGATAAAGGCCTTTGGCAAAGTCTCAGGATACAAAATAAACATACAAAAGACAATCACATTTCTCTACACCAATAATAAACAAACAGAAACCCAAATAAAAAGCACAATTCCATTCACAATAACCACACAAAAAAATGAAATACCTTGGCATCTTCCTAACCAGAGACGTGAAAGACCTTTACAATGAAAACTACAAAAACAAAGATTCCAGAAGCAAAACCTCAATTTCTCAACCAACTCATCTTCAACAAAGCCTCCACCACCTACTACTGGGGAGAGGAGAACCAATTCAGTAAATGAATCTGGGAAAACTGGCTGACCACATGCAGAAGATTGAAACAGGACCCCTATTTATTCCCACGCACAAAGGATAGCTCCAAATGGATCAGAGACTTAAATGTAAAACCTCAAACCATAAGAACCTTAGAAAATGAAGGAAACACCCTCATGGAAATCAGAACTGGCATCCAATTCCTGAACAAAACCCAAAACCCACGGGTCATAAGAGAGAAGATA